TGTGGTACACGTCATGTGGCCCACCTTTGTCAAGATGTTTTACAAAACACATCTCATGCTTCCAGCCATGGGAGAGAAGTAAACTAGAAGCAAGTGCTCTGGCCTGCCTTCATGGAGTATGTCTAATTGGTATTCTCCAGGTAAAATGTTTTGAAGAGTAGAACAGTAAGTGGGGATTTTGAAATTGAGGTTTTCTTTTTAAACTTTTGTACTGATTGTTACATAAAGATTCTTGATGCTATTCACTGATGACAGATACTTAGTTCTGGGCAAGTGAGGAGAGTTTTCAGAATACTTATATAGAATTTGATTTAAATTTTTACTCTATTGCCTACAAAAATGGTAATGGGGGAAGGTGAAGAAGTTCATTAGTCAAACCAACTGGACAACTTATTTAGATCGTTGTGGTCTAGTAGCTTGTTTGCTTCACTTTTGATTCAGGAAAATTACAGTGTAGTTTTATAATTTTCTTTGTCTAATTTCTACCTATAGAGTGAAGTATCTACTCAGATAGACTTGGATTTCAGTCCTAGCACCACCACCAACCTTGGGAAGTTATTTAATATACTTGAGTCTTAGTTTCCTCGTCTGAAAACTTACAGATAATACTTTCTGGGGTTATGGGATTAAATGAGATTATAAGATATAAAATACCACAATCTGAGTATGTATTAATCGGTGTCATTCATTATACTGCTTTTTTCATCTCTTTCCCCATTTGTATCTCCAATCTGACTTTTGGGCCATTTATTTGCTATTATCACACCACCTTCTCCTAAACATAAAAGAGTATGTTGTATAAATGTGTGTACCTGCACAAACTATTCTAGCTTCCAGCAGATCAGACTCCTTATGTCTGAACTATTCATAGTCTCCAAAGCAAGGCCTACACTCTCCCCTCCATGTTTTGGCTTACTGGTTCCTCTCTACCTTGAATGCCCTTCTCATCTCTTTCAAAATCCTCTCCCAATTTGTGAGACCCAGCTTAACTTCTGTTAAGTTTTCCCTTATTCTCCTAGTTAGAGTCAGTCTCTTGCTACTTTCTTTCCATTCTGTTCTTAATGCATATCTTGGTAGTAGAAGTCAATACATGATGCTTTTTAATTAAAGCTTTACATGTGAGACTTTCTACCAGTGAGCTTAATGTGGTAATTTAGCTTTGTGTCTTGCACACCCTAAGCACTCAAACTATATTGTTGTTATGATGTTCTTTAAAGGTTAAAACAGAATAAAAATGGGTTGGGGTTGTAGCCTAGTGGTAGAGCGTTTGCTTAGCATTCATAAGGTCATGGGGGTTTGATCTCAAAAAAAAAAAAAAAAACCCCGCAAACTTTTATACTTCTTGTAAACTGATCATAAAAGTCTTATTACTAATTCTAAATTTTTCTTGTAATGAAAAGTTTTTTTACCGCCCACTTCTTAACTTGAATGTGTGCCTATTTGCTTCTTTCCCTTTCCTCCCCATCTATCAGTTATAATCTTTCAGGCCTTTTTAATTTACTTATCAATTTTTAAATCAGTAAAATGGTTTCCTTGCATAACCAAATAGCTTTAGAATTACGAATTCCCTCTTCCTCTTTACTCTTTATTTTGTTTTATTTTTGTTCTTGGATATAATTACTTTTTAGTTGTTTTCCGTTTTTAAAATAGTAAATTTGTTTCTTGTAGTTCTGAAGGTTAGGAAGTCCAAGACCAGGTTGACAGCACAGTCAGGCTCTGGTGAGGGCCCACTTCTGGGTTGCAGACTGCTGTCTTCTTCTTATGCTCTCACATGTGGAAGGCAGATGACTTTCCTTAACACCATTTGTTTGCCAAGTCACTCAGAGTTTAGTTGTTGGAACCGTTTTTTGTTCCTTGATTCCTTTCCAATATTATTTTGATTTCTAGGATTAAACATAGAAGTATAACCATGATTGGAATTTACCACTGAGTATCCTTGGAGTGTTAGATGGTTGCAGTGGCAAGTTAGTTTGCAATATTATTTTACACTCTTGGGGTTTCTTTAAGTTTTCTAGATTTAAAATTAATACGAATAGCAAAGTAGTTATTTAGGGAACTAAATTTTTTTTAAAGAAATGGGATCTTTGTTCCACTAATAAATAGTGGAATAGTTTGAAAATAATTTCCTGAAGGAAGAATGGGATTCAATGTAGATTTCATTGAGGAAATAAAATTGATTTAGAAGATAGATATTGGACTATTTTCTTATGAATAGAGGCAAAGAGTCCAGAGTATCACCTACACTAGAAGAGGGTTTGTATAGATACAAAACATAAATAATGCGTATTTTTACAAGATCTGGAAAAATAGATACCAAGTTCATAACCACTGTTAACTCTGAAAAAGAATGTGGGAATTTAGGAATTGAAGAACTAACAAAATAGACTTTTGGTTTTTATTTTCTTTGCTTCTGAATAGTTAAAAAGTTTTGGCAGGAGAACATGTGTATATGTTGATTATACAACTAAAAATAAATGAATGTTGGAAAAGCACTTGGAATACGTTTTTTGGGTTATAACTTACAAAAGCCACCCTCAGTACCAGGTTTAATTCTGTCTTTGCCTTTTTGGGTTTTAGGCTTTGGATCTTGTCATCTAACAAAAAATATATTATTTTCAGCTGGCAGAGGCACAGCCATAGTTTCACTTCCAGTTCCTTTTGCAAGTTTCTATATAAGCAGCCTTAAATAAATTATGTCTAAGAAGTTTCATGTCGTGTCATTATACTATCTCATTCAGGAAGCTTTGAAGGGAAAGTATAGAGCAGGAGGGAAATTGTTAAACAGATTAAGGTTCAGCTTATTATATACCTTATATATTGATGTCTTTTCCCTAGGGATGAKTTTTAAATTTTTAAATTTTTATATTTTTTTGCTCTATAACCCTATATGAAATCATACAACAGATATATACTCTGCTAATGGTATACTTGGCATTTGGGCATTCAGCTAGGAAAGTTAGCTCAGTACATTAGCCATTGGTTAAATCTTGTATCCAGATAAACTGTTCTGCAGTTGCCAATCACATTATTAACCCTAGCCAACATTTTGCAAATGTAAGAAAATATGTATACAGTGGAACAAAATCACAAATCTATCACCATGTTTTTGTGTACTTTAAATATAAACTCAGTTTTTCTATCGTGTATGTATATGTGTGAGAGAGAGGGGATATTGGTAGGACTGGGGATTGAATCCAGGGAATCTCTAGCACTTTGCTACATCCCAAGTCCTTTTTATTTTTTTATTTTGAGGGAGGATCTCACTAAAAGTTGCTGAGACCGGCCTCAAATTTGCAATCCTGTTTCAGCCTCACGAGGAGCGCTATCACACCTGACTTTCTATCCCTATCTTAATAGCAGGATCTAGTTTTATTTTAATTGTTTTCTTGTTCTTCACACATTTAAGGAAGAGTACAGGTAAACAGAAAATACAAAAGTCACCCTTAAATCTTCCCACTCATCCCATATAAACTGCTGTTAACATTTAAGAGAGAGAAAGAACAAGGAAGATAAATTGGACAAAGGAGAAAAGTGGGTATTCCATAGACAATTTGTGGTAAATAGGGAGTAGGAAATACAGAGAAAGAGTTATGAAGAAATCCCACTGTGGACAAAACTTAGGAGCAACTGGTACATATGRGTCTCAAGATCTTGGAGGCTCTGGTAGTTTATCCATCTTGAAGGTTTCGTGAATTGGGTGTGGCATGTACCTATAGTTGCAACTACTTGGGAGTAATCCTTCTGAGGCAGAAGGATTACTTGAGTCCAGGATTTCCCCTGGGGCAGCAGTGATAGGAGAAGGGAAGTAGCACATACCTTAATCCCTGCAACTCAGGAGGCTGAGACAAGAGAATCGCAAGTTCAAGGCCAGATTCAGCAACTTCAGGATACCTTGTCTCAAAATTTTAAAAGGGGCTGGGTATGTAGCTCAGTGGTAGCGTGTCCCTGGGTTCTATCCCTACCACCACCACCAAAAAAGAAAAAAAAAAAAAGCTAAAATTGATAAAACAACATATAATAATGAAATCCTTGCTCATGTGATTTATGCCTCTAGTTATTGGATAGCCTTTCTCACATCCTTCATTCCTCAGTATGCATGGACATCCTTAGAGCTTTCTATTATAACTGGTGTGTCATTCTTAAAGGGCACAGTCGTACATGCCTGTAATTCTAGCACTCAGAGGCTGAGGCAGGAGGATCACAAGTTTGAGACCAGCCTCAGCAACTTCTCGAGCCTCTGTCTCAAAAAGGACTGTGAATGTAACTCAGTGGTGGAATACCTTGATATCAATCCCCAGCACTGCAAAAAATAAAGAAATAAACTAAAAAACTTAGTGCAATATTTTTGAGTAAATGTAGGATTCATTGTGGCTCTGAGTTCTAAAATCAACCTTAAAGTTATAGGATTAATGTGAACAAACCATGGACTCAGAGTAGACAGCTTGCCTAATGTGTTCAAGGCCCTCTGTTCAATCTCYAGCACTTAAAAAATAAATAAATAAGTAAACCAGAATTCTGTAATTTTGTATTTTGAGTTATTATCTTAATGCTKTAGTAATTAATATATACTTTCTCATTCTTGTGTGTTATTGGGAATTCGGTGATTTATTTTTTTCTTCTAAAACTAGGATTGATTTTTACAACTSAAGTTKATTATACTAATAATACTATCTCTTTCCTAGACATGAGTGGAAGGGTAAAAGTAACGTGCTTTATTAAAGTCAGAAGTTTAGGGAAAACAGTATGTCTTACTTTACAGCCTACCATATTATATTTACAAAGAAATTATAGTCAAAATTAAAGTATTTTTTGAAAATCCGAGATGGAAAGATGTAAGTAGTTTACAGGGAAAGGTGGAAGGCCAGATTTTAAAATCTATTAGGATGATTGATAAGAGAATCTAAGGCTGGTAAGCTTCTAAAAAGATTCTTGTGTTGCTTTGTGTTCTTGACCAGAGCAGTGTTTTCAGGGAGTAGGTTCTTAATTTCTTTCTTTTCCAGATTGCAAAAGTTGAGAAGCTCAAACCATTAGAGGTAGAGCTAAGACGCCTAGAAGACCTTTCAGAATCCATTGTTAATGATTTTGCCTACATGAAGAAGCGAGAGGAGGAAATGCGTGATACCAATGGTGAGAGGAAGGCATCTTTTATTTCTCAATAAGTAAACCATAAAGGAGACAAATCCCCAAACATTAAATTTTGGTGTACCCTTTTCTCAGTTTTTCAGAAGTGGGGTTTATGAAAGAAAAATTGCTTGTTTCAGTGCTGTACTAAGTAAATCAACATTGTTAAGAGTGGAATTTTCTTCTGTGATGCATTTGATCATATTCTCTCGTTGGCTTATAGTTTGTCAGATAGATAGAACTAATCTTTGTAATTTTTAGCTTTTATAAATAGAATTATCTTCCTTCCTTCCTTCCTTCCTTCCTTCCTTCCTTCCTTCCTTCCTTCCTTCCTTCCTTCTTTCTTTCTTTCTTTCTTTCATTTGAGGTCCTAGTAAGCAGGCTTACTTCATTACATTTACAATGCTTTTTGTCTTTTAGAGTCAACAAACACTCGAGTCTTGTACTTCAGCATCTTTTCAATGTTCTGCCTTATCGGACTAGCCACCTGGCAGGTCTTCTACCTTCGTCGCTTCTTCAAGGCCAAGAAATTAATTGAGTAATGAGACCAAATCTCCTCCTCCCTCGTGAATCTCAGCCAGCAGAACATCGCTGGGACGTGCCTGGCCTAAGGCATCCTATTAACAGCACCATGAAGGCACGCTGAAGCTTTCTTGCCAGAACTGATCTTTTTGGGGAGGACTTGGGGTACTACCTACACTCAACAAGTCAATGAGGGACTTCTTTTTAACTCGGTAGGATTTGGACTGGTTTTGCAACAATAGGACTATTATTAGAGTCACCCATGACAAAAAATAGGGGTTACCTAGATAATGCCAAAGTCAGCATTTGTCTTGGGTTTCCTCACGTGATCTATTTGAACCATGTTTGCTTTCCTTCTCCCACTTGCTCACTAGCTTGGGCTTTCACTCTAGTTCTTTTACCACGATTTGTATGACTATGTTGAACTTGTTTCATACTGATTGTCCTCTTTGGGTTTCCTTCTAAAAACATCCTGGCCCTTAGCTGAAATGTTTACATAGCTTCTGGTGATATCCTTTCATAATTTTATGTCTCTTACAAGAGTCGTGAATGTGATACCTTATAAAAGTGAGCTCAGAACTGTAGATAACTTCTTAAAAAAAAAATCTCATTTTAGACAATTAAAATATTTGTGCTCAACTGCTTGAATTTTTTTTTCTTTTTGTGTATGTGTACTTAGTTCCATGCAGTTTTATCATGTGTTTAGGGTCATGAGACCATCACAAGCTATAGTACAGTTTCATCACATGGATTCCTCTTATTGCCCTTTTATAGCCACAGCTACCTCCCTTCTATATGCCCCTTTACCCCAAACTCTGGCTACCACTAACCTGTTTACCATCACTATAATTTTGTTGTTTCAAAAATGGTACATAAATAGAACCATTAGAATGTGACCTTTTGAGATTTACTTTTTTTACTCACCATAATTCCCATGATATCCATCCAAGTTGTTACATTTTATCAATAGTTTATTCCTTTTTATTGCTGAGTAATATTCCGTGATTATAGATGTACCACGCAGTTTCATCCACTGAAGGACTGATGGATTGTTTTCAGTTTTAGGCCCTTAGTAATAAAGCTTCTGTGAATTTTTGTGTATAGGTTTTCAGATGAACATAAATATTTCTTTCTCTGGAATAAATGCCCAGAAAGAGCAATTGCTGGGTTCTGTGGTAAGCACATTTAGTTATGTAAGAAATTTCCCTACTCTTTCCAGAGTGGCTGTACCATTTTACATTTCCACGAGCAGAGT